CTCTGGGGAAAAGATCTTTTAAAGGGTGGATGGATGTCGTAACAGAAGAGGCTTTATAACAGAAGATGGCACTCCTTAACAGATGGAACCTGCCTCTTCTGCTGAACTTAATGGGATGGGAGAATAATTGGGGAGAGGTGGTCCCTCAAATAACCTGGTCCCTTTTCATGTCTGTGTTTCTATTTTGATGGGAAAATATTTGTATGGGAGGGAGTGATATTAATATAGCAATCAGGTTCTTATATATTAGAATAAGGTACGGTACCTGGCATTTGATGGAAGCATTGTTCATATTGCTCTGTATTATGTGGTTATTTTGCAAAATACTTGTTCCTAATCTAAGCTTATGGTCTTCTGATTAACTCCAGTGCTTGAAAAGGTAAGGCATTCTCTCCAAGAACTTCTTTATATATACAAAGAAGTTTTATTAAAGAAGTTTTTCCACAAAGTAAAAAAAAAATACAATTCTTAAGTTAAAGATACAAGAAATAGAGAAAAGAAATAAAAAGTGAAAAATAAGTAAATAAAAGAGATAGAAAAGGGAAAAGGAAAAAAAAGCATAATTTAAAAAGTGGTTTCTAATCTTCTTAACAAGTTATATTTATATTTCACCCTCTGTAAGGTTGCATCAAAGTTTCCTTCCTTTCATAATCTATTCTTTGTAATCATCAAATCCATCAGTTCTTTTTTCTTTTTTTCCACAAAAAGTCCATAATGAGTTTCCAATCGCTAATAAATGAAGTGATTGATCTTTCTCTAAGTAAACAAGTTAATTTTGCCATTTCTATTACTTCCATCATCTTCGTCAACCATTCCTCTCTTACAGATATTTCAGAATCTCTTCATTTTTTTACTTACAGTTATCTCGTAGCAGGGTTCATATATAAAAATAATCTTCCATGGACTTTTTCTGATTATCTGTCCATTAATTCCAACAAAAAATGTACTGGTTTCAGTTGAATCTTAGTCTTTAAAATTCTTTAAATATATGTACGCAAACACAAAATTTTCTGGCTGTTTTACAAGTCTACCAAATATGAAAAAAATGAACCTTCATGTTGTCCTCATTTCCATCATAAATTTGAAGTACTTTATAATTCTAGATAATTTTTCTGGAGTCATTTTGTTTTTTTAAAAAACCCCATGTTTTAGGTTATATAACAATGTGAATTCCATCTTTTCAACCACATATTTTCCCACTGTACCAAATGCATTATGTTTATCATTCTTAGCCCATTTAATCATATACTTTTTCACTTGTTTGTCCTCTATTTCAAATTTCAGCTAGCTTTTATACATTTTGGCAATTATATGTTCATCATTTGTACATAATTTAGCTTCAAATTCTGTCTTTTGTTCCGCAATTCTAAATGTTCTAATTTAATCTTGAATCTTTCCCTTAGCTGTGCGTACAAAACCATCAAAAACTAAATCCTTCAGCAGCCAATCGTTCTCTTGATTTCATCTTATATTTTCTATATACTTGTTCTAACAGTTCTCAGTAGGTTAACCATTTCTCTTTACTTGCTGTTTCTTTCCTATAAAATGCTTCTTGCGTTAAGACCCGTGAAAGCATTTCTGGGTACAGTCTGGGTTTATATCTATTTTCAATATGGTACTTCTGGTATGGTGATTTTAAAAATCAGCCCTTAACTTTAACTTCTAGTACAGTAGTTCTCACCTGTGGGTCGGGACCCCATTTGGGGTCGAATGACCATTTCACGGGGGTCGCCAAACAACTCAGTCCGCCATTTTTTCCCCTTTTCCTTAGCTGTGCTACTCCCTTTTATTCTATTGGCTTTTGAAAGCCAATAGAATAGACTCTCTTGAATAGAGTCTAATTCTATTGGCTTTCAAAAGCCAATAGGAATTGTCCAGGCTGTCTCTGCCCTGCTGAGCCCGCCAAAAGTCCCATTCTGCAAATGGTGCTGCACCAGTTGAGTAATCCTCGACTTACAACCGGTTGAGTAGTCCTCGACTTATGACCGGTTGGGGATCGCGACATTAAAAAGGTTGAGAACCACTGTTCTAGTACCACAGAAAGGCATGCCATCCAAACCTCAGATCATGCCCTTTTAATTCTAAAATTACTTCCTTTCTCAGCAGCTTTCACGCTTTCTTCCAAACTAAACTGCTGGCCACAAAATATAGTTTTAAATCAGAAACCCCCTCTTAAATTATTTCAAACAACAAAAGACTTCAAGTCAAAGAAGAATATCTTCTCCCAAAGATGGTTTCCTGCTTCCTAAAGTTTGCAAGCTTTCTTTGTTTTTCAATTCTGACTTTTTGTGACCGAATGAACATCTTTTGGCCAGGATTGCCTGCCTGCCTCCTTGAGTTCTTATAAGTTCATGCTTGTGTCATTAATGATAGTATCTTGCTACCTTGTTTTCTGTCAGCCTCAACTACTTTCAATCTTTCATCGGAGTCTTCTTTAGAGACCCTTGCCTCGGCATCAGATGTTATAGAATCTGACCAAGGAAAGAACCAAAGTAAATCAATGATGAACTCTGAGTGACCAAGTAAAAAAAAAAAAACAGCAACAGAGAGCCAATGATCTCTTAGATGACAAGAGCAGGAAGTGGTCTGAGTGAGCAGGAATTAGGAGATGCCTTCCTTCAGTTGTTTTCAGCATCTCAGCAGATCATTAGTTTTCCTCCTTTTGCTTTCTGCATTTTGGTAATCTTTTGTTTACTTCCTCTTAAAGATGTCACAAATTGAAGTTCAGATTTCTTAAACACTCTATTCATCAAAGCTGAATCTAAAGAATAGATTTCTATTTTTTTACCTACACTACATAATCATTGGGTTCCTATCTTGTTGGTCTGATTATTTTGTTTTCTTTAGTTTAAGAAATTGTTTGATAGTCAGCCCTGATTTGCTTTTGTTGCCTGAATACAGTTTTTCCATCTTTTGCTTACAGGGCAGTGTTTCTCAACCTTAGCAAGTCGAAGTCCACATATCTCAGTTGCCAAGGTTGAGAAACACTGTTGTAGATATTGTCCATCTGACAATGACCATGTATACAATCATCTTCTAAGCTGTTGGTAGAAGGTATTTGTAATAAATATTGAATCTTCTTCCCAGAAGCTTGCAGTCTGTTTCCTGCTTTGTTTCCTACTCAATGCCAATGTTTTTTCTGTTATTGCAGATTCTAATTTACTTGCAACTTTGACCTTTCAGTCTCTTATAATTTTTCCTTTTGTTTGTTTTGCTGACAAGTTGCACAGTTTTGATAGATCTATTTACCCTGCCATTTTCATGGTCTCTGTGGCTGGCACAGAGATTTTGATGATTGTGATACTGATTGGCTTTCCTTGGGTTTAGATTGGCTTTTCCTTGGAGAAAGTAAAATAAGGATTATCTGCTCTCAAAGATTTTTTTTCAACTTCTTAAGGTTTGAAGGCTTCTTTACAAGTGTTACTTTTATCTTTCCATTCCATTCTGCTGGCTGGAACCCAGGGGGGAATATTGAGGCATATCCTTTTAAAAGTGTATTCAATTGTTTTTCATTGAATTCCTTCATTAAGATAAGATCCACTTAAGAGAAAGATTCTCAACAGAATAATCAATCAGAATTTTAATTTCTTGATGGTATGCTTAAAAACATCTTGTCTGTGAATTTTTCTATAGTAATCAATGGGTAAAAATACTTTGTAAAAATTATATCTTGTTTTCCTTTATTGTATCATGATTGTTGTGGCTATTTTTATACCATCTTTTGTCAGTTAAATTATATAATTTATTCTTGGAAAATCGTAAGTAAATAAGAACTGTTAGTTAGGCACATGAAAAATTTACTGAAAATTTACTCTCTTGGGGTTTTGGAAAGCTAAGTTAATGTTTTTGTAGGGGCCCTGTCATGTATTTATTATTGTGGTTGTTTTAGTCTAGGTTATCTCATTTTGTTTTATGTTTTTGACTGTTTTGTTTGTATTGGGTTTTATAGTTACTCAGAATCTATAAATTTAATACGGGTAGTTCTCCACTTACAATTACAATTGAGCCCAAAATTTCTGTTGCTGAGTGAAGCATTTGTTAAGTGAGTTTTGCCCTATTTTACGATCTTTCGTGCCACAGTTGTTAAGTGAATCACTGCAGTTGTTAAGTTAGCAACAAGGTTGTTAAAGGAATCTGGCTTACCCATTGACCTTGCTTGTCAGAAGGTCACAAGAGGTGATCCCATGTCCCAGGGATACTGCAACTGTCATAAATACAAGTCAGTTGCCAAGCATCTGAATTTTGATCATGTGACCATGGGGATGCTGCAACGGTCATAAGTGTGAAAAATTGTCATAATGGCCATTTTTTTCAGTGCTGTTGTAACTTTGAATGGTCACTAAAGTGAACTGTTGTAAGTCCAGGATTGCCTGTACATAAATGTTGTTTTGACAATTAAAAGTACTGAATGGGAAGGTAACATATTAATACCCTTATGAAGGGGACACGTCAAATGTCTTTTAGCTATTTTGAATTACATTCAATCTATACAGTGAATCGTTAAATGGAATAATGAGATTTGTAGTTTATGATACCTGAAAGCTTACAGGCTGCCTTCTTACTCTCTACAGATTTAATGGATAAGCAAAGCCTTTTACTGTAAATGTGTACTATCATCAAAATGTGAGCTAGCTATAGCTATTGTATTTGCCCGGTATCTGTGTTATCCAAGATTTTGATGTTTACCTCTTACTAAATTCTGAAACCATGATCTGGAACACAACACATCAAACTATGTCTGGGTCATCTTTCTGTATCTTGGTGATGTAAAGGGAAAGAAGAAATTGCTTAAATGGCATTGCATGGGTTATGTTCATATGATCTCATCATATGCAAAAATCAATGGAAGGTGTAGTAAACAAAAGTATAAATGGGTAAGTGTTCTATTTCTACACTGTACTCAGATGCAGTCCTAGGAGGCTAACAGTTATGTTGGCAGGCTATGTTTTTGCTGTTTAATAATTGTAAGGAGAAAATAAAGAAGACATTTGAAAAAAAATAGTGAAAAAGACATTTATTATATTTTGAAAAATACTCCCTAGGATTCCAGCACTGCAGTTATACCATTTCAGCTTGAAGTTCATATTTGGAAGATTAACCATCACTTAATCAACTCTAATACAGAAGTACTGCATTTTGTTTTTCTGTAGAAATAGAAGCTCTTCTTTGTAAGCTGAAATGTACATTCAATTACTTCTTTTTAAACTTCATTCTCATAACAAAGTGCTTTTTCAAAAGTAATGTTCTGTCTTGATTTGTTATTCTAGTGAGCTTGGGTGACATGATGATATTTTAGCTAAAGTGCAATTCGAGCACAATAATGTTTTAACTTGCAAGGAAGAATTCCTTTATTGAGTTGGTAAAACTCCACGAGTTGAATAAGATCAGAGAATCTAGTGTGACCATCATCCAGTGAATAAAAGAGTTTGCCTTCCTCTTCTAACTGCAAAGGGAGAGAAAGTCCATAATCCAGTGATGGCAAACCTTTTAGAGACCGAGTGCCCCAAAAACCGCCCCGCCCCTGCCACATCGCTCCGTCCCACCCGCTCCACCCCACCTGCCAGGCCATCCACCACCTCCAGGGCCCACCACAGATCGCTCAGGCAGCCCTGCAGTGCCATGGTGGCCACGCCCTCTACCCACGCCCCACATCATGGGGTGCGAGGGTGGAATCTTGTCCCTGCTGCCTAGCTGCCATGTGCTTGGCTGCACTGCTCCACACTCAGGGGTGACTCTTCTCTGGGGGGGGGGCTGCTGATGAGGAGGGGGCTGTGGGGAGAGGCAGGGCTGGGGCGATGGCACGCGTGCCCACAAAGAGGGCTCTGAGTGCCGCCTCTGGCACGTGTGCCATAGGTTTGCCACCTCTGCCATAATCTATCATGTACTGTCAGCAGGCAATTAAGCAGACTACTATTATGGATACATATGATAGCAGCATCTCAGGTTTTATTTAATAAAACATTTCTTTTTCCTGCATGAATTTTATTTATGCATCTCTCAAAAAAACAAATTCTGTGAAATATGAACTATACCTTGTAAGATACAAAGGAAGAAAAAGCTAGAATGATAGTCCCATGTAGGCTTATCGGGATATGTGTCAAAACAGATACCAAAGTCATAATGAGAAGTTGATATCCCAAATAAGAAAGTAAAATTTTCATGAGAAACATGGTTTTTGGTTTGGAAACTTCTCTTTCATAGAAAAGTGCAAAACCATGGGATTTGGTTCTTGTAAACAGAACATCAAAAGATTTGATTCATCACCTTAATAGCTATACTTACCGGCACAATTTGGAAGTGCTTTATTTTTAATCCATGGCTTAATGACAACACAAAAGTTCTGGGATTGCTTTGACTATCCCGTACCAAGAAAACTCTATGGTAAAAAAAAAAAGGAAAATGTGGTCAAGCAAGATATGAAATTATGTCCTTAAATAATGACATTGCAGTGCTAGCAAAAGAATTTTTTTTTTTAGATTTGTTTTATCCTACCTCTATTATTCTTATAAATAACTCAAGGAGATGAGTTATATTCCTTTCTCCTCCTATTTTCTCCAGAACAATGTTTCTTATCAAATTTTATTTTACCTCTTTATTTTTAAAAAGTAAAGATAATTAACATTAATTGCTATATTCCATGTGTCGCAGTATCCACTATGAACTTAAGCAGGTCCACGTCAGGAAAAGGGAAATTTGCCAAGTGAGTTTAAAGTATGGAGCTTTACATTACACTATGGACAAAGAGGGAATAAAAATGTGATAAATATTGCACATCTTTTGCTATTGTACCCACATGAAGCTCAAGAGAGATAACATAAAAAGTCCCCAAATGAACATAATTGACTTCTTTAAAAACATTTTCTAATAAATGACAACACTAGGCAAGGGTGCCCATTTTCTCTTATTGTTCGTATTTGCTTTAGAAATCTTTGTGGACAAGATTCAAACATATTGGAGATTAAAATTCAAGGTCAGAAATAAGAATTGAAACATTATGCTGACAATGTAGTCCTAAGCATTATGTAAATACAGAGGTTTATAAGATAGCTGATGAAATACAATCAAAGACTTTGGTGAATGCTCTAGAGACTGGGTCAATGAAAAGAAAAGAAAAGAAAAGAAAAGAAAAGAAAAGAAAAGAAAAGAAAAGAATGACAACATACTTAACCCCGGATGAAGAAGAGCTTTGTTTAAAAAATAAGTCTGGTTATGAGATAACCAAATAAATAAATAAATCCAATGAAATTCTTAGGAGTTTATTACATAAATATTTACATTTGACAGGATGCAAAGATGTATTTCAGAACAATTACAATCAATTATGGGAAAAATATATTGAGGCTAGACAAACTGAAAAATTTCTTGCTAGATCTTATCTTGACAAAAAAAATGAGCATACTACCCAAGATGATTTGTGTATTTCAAATGACACCAATTTCAATCTCAGTCAAAATCTTGCAGGATTGGCAAAGAAGAATAAAGAGATTTATACAGAGCAACGAAAACGAACAAGAATAGAATTTAAAATTCTGCAGGATTCAAAGAAAGATGGGGCCTTACGTTTCCTAACTTTAAATTATATTACCGCACTAGCTGGTAATATAATTGCATAACATAACAGATAAAATCCCCAAAGAATAAAATATCAATCATAGGGGGAACTGACTTAGCCAATGGACTTTATAGATACTTATAGTATTTAAGAAAGCAAAAGAAAATGATTTGAAAGGACGTATAAAACTAAGTCTGATAACAATAGGAATCTTTTAAAAACAAAGATAGGTGTGACAATTTCACCATTAGTCTCACGGTCAAACATCATGTGTGTAAAGGTTTGTATGGATGGGTGGTGTTAAGTCCTCAAGTTAATGGTGAAAGAAGAACACGCATTCTGCAGCCAACAACTGTTTATTCTCCTTCTGCTCACTCCAACACAACTCAGAGGCTCACAGGCCTCTCTCACATTCAATAGATCCCCGGGCAAAAAGGTTACAATAGAAAATGGCGCACTTTCGCGCCTTGCGCATGCGCGCAGGCTGGCACCGCTTAGTCTGGTCCTGGGCAGCTTGCAATAGCCCGGGACCATAGCAACGTCCTAAGCCTGCTTTTGCAGATGGGTGGGTGGGTGTGTCCTCCAACCCCACAAATGTTTAAATCACTTCTGACATTTCTTTATAAAGGCAGAATGAAGTGCCCATTTCCAGAAGCAGACGCTGGAGAAGAGGAAGCCACAGAGACCTCTCTGAAGGAAAACACTCTGTGCATCATTACATAAAAGAGTGGGATTGTGAATTTAGCTCTAACCTGCTACAGTATGGTGGACTTCCAGCAGATTAGGTAAAAACTTAAAAACAGATTTGAAACGCGCAGCTAAAGAACTGAGAAGTTTCTTGGACGAGAAATGAAACATCTTCAAGCAAAACAAAGAAAGCCCAGTTGCTTTTTGAAAAAGCATCTTTGGGACAACCATGACCTGGATAACTGAAAATATCCACAGACATGTCAAGGGGCTTGAACTGAGTCTATGTAGAGGGCTTCTGAAGTTAGGACAAACTGAAAATAAGCTAAGAGGTATTTCAGATACAGGTAGTACCCTTACTGAACTACCATTACTTCATGCTTGTTTGATTGATTAACTGATTTTAAGGCTGCCAACTCGCTGGTGACTTTAGCATCCTACAGAGGGTTAAAACAACAGCCATCATTAAAAAAAGTCAAGGATGCTGGGAGGAATAAATCAGCTTATATGAAACTGCTGCCAGTGCTTAGTGGGAACACACATAAAACTCAGAATCTGCTGGAAGAGTCAGGGTTTAAGTTCTTGCCCAAAGACCAGCAGGTCAGGGTCATGTGGATCTTGGGGGAGATACAGTTTCATAGGGTAGGTGGGGCAACATAAACAGCCAGTCACAAAATATAAATATCAAGGGAGGGGAGAAACTTACCCATCCACCAATCCTTGCCTCAGAATCAGTTGGTGTGCCTCTTCTCTAGAAATCTTATGATGAAACCACGGTTGTGAACTGTGTATAGCTAAAAACAAGATCAAGTCTATCTCATACGATTCTAGGATAAGGTAATATACCTTTACATTCTGCTTCAAATATCTGGGGATTATTTTCCACAAAGTGGCTCCTGCATAGAGTGTGCCAAATTCCTAGTCCAAAGTGCCCAATATAGTATTGTAGCAATTCTGGGCTTTTTTCATGCCAGAGATATCCATTTTATTCCAGTTTTTTTATTCAAAAGCCCTAGAACATATATTATATGAATTTAACTTGGCTCACACCCTCAATTTGAATTAATCCGGTCAAAAGTCTGAAAGGCTATCTTTTAAATTACTAATTGCTTTTATAATTGTAATTGTATTCCCAATTTTATTTTGCGGCTTGAGGCTGAATGTTTGAGGCAGAGTTGAAGATCTAAATCAAATCATGACCTACTGGCCAAATTTTCAAATTGATCCCTTTGTGTTTGACTCCTTTTATATTGGTAGATGACTCTTATCATCCTTCTTAGAATTGCCTTCTGGAAGCATATAGTTTTCTCTAGGTTAAAATGTGCTGGAAAGCCAGTGGTTCCAAGTTACTATTACTTGAATAGATTCAATTGTTCTTTGAAGACAGCTGGTAATTTTTATTTCATGTATCAGTTCCCCCCTTTTTTAAAAAAGTATTCATTTTGTCATCCTTGGTGGTTTTATTTAGGAAATACAAAATTCCCTATGGTCTAAGTAGCTTGAGTCAACAGAATGTATCCTTCTAAGTCAAGATTCCTCAAAGTAGCCAGTATCGACCCTCACAGGTTGATGAGACTAACTATTATTATTGTCATTATTAATATTTCTAGTACTATTTGTTACAATAGTATTTATTAAATTATTTTCATATAATAGATGTTTGGGTGGGGAGGGGGATCAATCAATAATCTGAAATTTCATGAAAGAGTCAACAAGAAGAAAAGTTTGGGGACTCTTGCCCTAAACATGTATTTTATAAAGATATATAACATTCTCTCATTGCCTTGCTTCTATGGTCCTCCCAATAATTTTTTTTGCTTGCCCAGAAAAGTATCTGCAGAATCTTTTTGTCAAAATGGCAAAAGCAACATTGCCCTCCCTATAAGTTCCACATCATGGCACATATACAAAAGAGACAAAATGTTCATATTGGTTGTCCCTTGATAATCCCAAAGCAATCTCCATCACAATAAAACTGAGATAAACATGCTTTATGATTTCAGTTTGTGAGTATATGTATGCATGTATATGATGAATGAATTGATGACATCACATGCTATTCTACAAGATCTGTCAGGGGTGCATACCTGCAGTGGAGGGGACACTTTGCAAAGTGCTGGGGCTGCTATGTATACCAAGACGTAAGCTCCCTTTTTTCTACATAAAAAGAAAGGAAAAGCACTAAATTTTTAAACAAGAAACCATAACATTAAGAATGGCTTTAAACGGAGTTTTCATACCCGCCATGCTAAACCTTCTTCGACTGCAACTGATAAGGCTTCTGTAGGGTTTTCGATAATTCTGGATTTATTCCCTGTGAAGTCCATAGCGACAAGAGAATTCTCTGAAACACTTCTCTAAAGGATAAAAAAAATGTGTTAAATGCATCTACCAAAAACATTTTACAGTATACCCTTGATTATTCTCAGGCAAAATCAACATGGAATCTATTGATTAGCAAACAGAAAAGTAAAAAAAGAAGGGCATCTTTTCTGCAGAAGGTGGTTTAGATGCAGTAGATACCCCCCATTTCTTTGTAAGATTATGCCTGAAAGATACTGCATTATCAAGATCAGCAAGTGATATTTCATTTTTATGAATTACACTCCTAACAATTCTGTCAAGGTGGTTAAAAATAGATGGAATTCATTATTTAAGTTGAATTGTTGTTGGTTTTTTTAGATTTATATTCTGCTTTTTAAATATGCCATTTACAACAGAGGTAAATATCTTTCGCCCCACTGGATGGAACAGACTTTGACTCCTATAGGCCCCAGCCAATGGTCTGGGTTGATGGGGAGCTGTGGCTCCAATTACCTTTAGAGATTCATATGATTCTCCAACCTATCTCAAATAAACTTTCACTCATATCCTGCTCTACAATAAAAACAATCCAAATACTATAAACTGAAAAGGAAAATGGAGGGGAGGAAAGAAGAAACAACTGTAGAAATTATATAAAGAGTACCAAACTAGTAACTGGAGGACTACGCTTGGTCTAAGAGATTCTACTGCATATTAATTCATAAGTTCATCTCTTTGCTTATTCATTCCATTTGTATATAACCAAATCAATAAAAGCATACGGGCAATAAGTCACTGTGGAGAAATCATCTTGTTTTGACAACCAAAACAGAAAATCCTGCAACGATAAACAAGCTAAACCATTTCCACCTCCTCCATTTTCTCCAAAATCAGTTGCCTGAGGAGGCCACATAATGCAACAATCAAGAGGTTGTATTTATATTTCAGTTTAAATAATTGTTATTAAATATACTTACCATGGGTGTGCTAAGAAAACTGCCCCCACTTCTACCTTGATAGGGCTGTGCGTAATTCTGGTACAACTGCATTCCATACTATAAACAAGGAACAAAGAACTATTACAATTTTATGTATATAATTCAACCATCTGAGAATATTCTACTGTTAAAATAGAAATACAGACATAGCATGCAATAGCAACCGCACTTATATACTGCTTCATAATGCTCTACAGCCCTCTCTAAGTGGTTTACAGGGCCAGCCTATTGCTCCCAACAATCTGGGTCCTTATTTTACCGACCTCGGAAGGATGGAAGGCTGAGTCAACCTTGAGCCAGTGAGAATCAAACTGTTGGCAATGAGCAGAGTCGGTGTGCAATACTGCATTCTAACCACTGGGCCACCACAGCTCCTGTAGCCAAGTTATTTGAAAGATTACCTCTCCCTGATTATGTAGACCAGGCATGTCAAGCTGCTGCCCGGATGCGTCACGTCGAAACCGCGTCCACCCCATTACCAGCAATGGGGGAAAAGTCGCAATACGTCACGTGACGTCACGAGTTTGACATGCCTGATGTAGATCCATCTCACTAGGCATGCTCTGAGTCTCATATATTAGAGACTGCCATCTGGAAGAGCCCAGAAAGAGATCCTTTTCTGTCAATTTGGAACATCATCCATCCCAGAGATTAGATTGGACCCAAACCTGTTTGCTTTTTGTAAGGCCTTACACACAAGTTGCATCACTGAGTTGAAGACTTGGGTGTGTGGCAGAGCCTATGCAATGATTATATTGATTGTGTTGGTTGTTCTTGTTTTTAATAAAAAAAAATCTTTGCTGCTGATTAGTCAGGCATTTTTAAATGTTATATACTTCATGCTGTTTTTAATTGTTATTAGTTGCCCAGAGACATGAATGTGAGATGGGCTGCTATATAAATTGAGATAGACACAGTTGATAGACAGAGGTGAATTCTATCACTAGGCTGTATGATTGAAGATGACTGGTTACAGACCAACATCTCTAAAAGACCCAGAGTTGGAGGATGTTGACTTAGAAAATTGCTTCTATCACAATTATTCCATCTCTTTTAAACAAGGGCTGGGTGATATTCTGCTACATATAAAAACAATAGGAATGCCCGTGTTATAGATTTTTTTTCCAGGCATTCTCAAAGTGATAAAATAACAAGTTTCCTTTTTTTAAAAAAAAATAACTGAACAGATCTCTATCTCAAAAACTAAGATGAGCAGGAGGAGAAAAAGGAGTCTGTCTGCCTAGATTTGTTCTTATTCTTTGACAAGTAGATTATAGGGAAAGAAACAGGGCCACCTGGTGACCCAGAAAACTTCAATGTTCCTGAAAGAACATCCCTAAGGAAACCTACAGCTTGCCAATAACAATAGTAATACAAAAATCCTGTAATACACTGGAACAGTTTTTCATTGATTCCAACACTAACAACAAAAGGGGAACAAGCTTTTGTGTTTATAAAATACTAACAAGATGGAATTAGGCTCCCGTTTTGTTTCCAGATCCCACCCAGAAAAATCCAACTCTATTTGCAGTTTTAACATCTCTTTTAAACATATCCTGAATTGGATTTGGATAAATGCTTAAGTGGTGATTAAATAGCGACATAACAAAAGCAATTACTTAAAAACCTTTTTATGCACAATATAGTTTTGTGCTATTAGGTGACCAGCTTGAGAAAAATATTAACAAAAGGCGTTTTGAAAACAACCAGTCCTATTTTGTACAATGTGCTCTTGAGAAGCTAGCTGAAGAGGTATTTGTTAAGACCCCAGGAAATGTGATCAGGTCATTCTGCTCAGGACAGAATAACAATTACAGAAAATAATTATTTTGGATTAGAAAAACTATATGTTATTTGGAGGAAGATAGTCTTAGAACCACTTCTCTTTTAAAAGAAACAAAATCTTTCTAGAAGTTTATTCCGTGAGGTATGCCAAATCACATTAAACTGTTTGACTGCATTAAGTTATTATATCTCAATTAAACTACTACATCCCATGTAGTGGTTTATGGCTTAGTGTGATGAGTGAACCCAAACAACTATGATTTAATCAACAAGCTCTAGTTAAGCAAACCATGAGTTACTCTAATGTTTAAAAAAGGTTTTTACCTAGGCCAGCACACTGGCTTAAACAGGGGTGTCAAACTCAATTTCATTGAGGGACGCATCAGCATTGCAGTTGCTCTCAGAGGGCTGGGTGGGTATGGCCAGGGTGGGTGCAGCCTACTGGGTAAGCGTGGATGGAGTGGGTGTGGCCTACTGGGTAGGTGTGGCCAGCTCTACACCATTTGCGTCAAGTGTGCCTGTGAGGGCCTGGGCAGGAGTAGGATAGATCTGAGGGTCTCTGGCAGAAGGGGGTGGCATGGTCCACTGGAGGAACCTCACTGTTCCTCTCAGGCCATGTGGGGAGGGGCTTATGGAGCTAAGACTGAATGCCTTTCAGCATAGAGGGCCACCACAAAATTGTACATTGGCTCCCGGCTGGCCTGGGCCAGGGCCAAGGCAGAGGGGGCCGTTCCCTCACTGTTTCCAGGATGGCTTCGTGGGCCACATGAAACCACTTTGCGGGTCGCATCCGGCCCCAAGGCCTTGTGTTTGACTTGTCTGGGCCAAAAGAATGATCAGTAAAAAAGATTATTCACAGGATAAACTTTTGCTCTCTCACTTTATTTTCTGAAGCTATCTACAACTCCTGAAATGTTGTCCTAGGACAGGGGTGTCAAACTGCCAGCCCGTGGGCCGGTTGCATCATGCAGAGGCTGCGCCCACCCCAGTTCCAGTAATGCAAAAAAAGTGGCGACACATCGGGACATGTCATGTGACACGGCAAGTTTGACACCCGTGTCCTAGGAGAACCCCTCAAATTATGCATAATATGACTAGGAGTGGGTTTTGCAATCAGATTTACATTCTTCTATAAATTGAGGAGCAATATATGATCCAAGCCAATGGCTTAATATGATATACAAATCAACCCTTTATGGCAACCCAGTCACTATAATTTGTTCAACAAATCATTCAGTCCAACAAACTGAATATGACTTCCCTCCTGAAATATTATTGTAAATATATAATGGGCCAAAGTCTGTGTCCAATTTTACTTTTTCTAAATGGAAAAATACTTTTTTCTAAAGGAAATGTTTTCCTTACCCCAACAGAAATTGTAATACAGTTTATCAATGTTTTAAAAATGAATGAATAAAAAGCAAATAGACATATATTAACAAAGAAATCACACAGGTCTAAGGCAGAAATATGTAGACTGGATTAACATATTACTTTAAACCATGGCTTATACAAGTTTAGTGATTAGGCCATTAAGACAACTGTCTTCAGACAATAAGTCAAGTACCACAATATGGCTTATTGCAGAGCTTTTCAACCAGTGGTATGGGTACCACCTGTGGTACATTGGCACCTGGCAGGTGGTACGCGACCATCCTAGAAAAGTGGTAGCGGGGGAGGGGAATGAGCTGAACCGGTGGCAGCACCGCACAAGTCTGAGCAAGAGATGGCTGGAGTTGCAGGGCTGTCAGGGGTCAGCGGAAGCGCCAGGATCAGTGCTGCTTTCCAGCTGATTGGCGCTTCTTCAAGACTGTCAGGGCTCAGTGGAAGTGCCAGGATCAGCGCCAGGCTCCAGGTTGGCGCTGATCCTGGTGCTTCTGCTGAGCCCTGAAGAAGCACCAATCAGCTGGAATGTTGCCTTATCTCCAGGGTCTTGTGATTTACATTCAGATGCATGGCAACTGATTTATATTTATGACGGTCACAGTGTCCCAGGGTCATGTGAAGTGACCAAAACCTGCTGCAACCACCCATCAGACAGGGGGAATAAAAACCACACGCACCCCATCCCATCCCCGCTGCCAATCCTCAACAGAAATGCTCACAGCAATGAAAACCTTGGAGAGGAGGAAGAGCGCCGCCAGGTGGGCAGGCAGGTGTCTTGCTCGGCTGTGGCTTGGGGGGCACTTTTTTCAGTGCCATTGTAACTTCGAATAGTCACTAAGCGAACTGTTGTAAGTCGAGGACTACCTGTACTTCATCACTTTTTTCCTTTTTTTTTGGTCATCAAGTTTTTGAAACCTTGCTAGGCAACTGGTGGTACTCGGATATTGCTGTATCCTAAAAGTGGTACAATGGGTGAAAAGGTTGAAAAGCCTTGGCTTAGTGTATTGTGTGAATCAACATTGGTATAATAACTACCAAATTACTGATGTTTTTGTGGTAAGATTTTTTGAGCTTAGTTCAATTGTAAGCAGTGAACCTTACCTCATTCCAATGAAAATATATTTTTATAGACTATTTAACTTCACTGGCATCTGCTGAAATTTTATTATTTGCTAATCTATGCTGTATATTTTAGATAAAAAAATCCATCTAAACTGCCTGAAGCAATGTAGTCCTCTTAATTGAATTTTAACATTCACTTTTATTGGAATGAAATGGTCTCAGATGGAAAGTTTCCTATCACTACCAGTTAAAAGATGTAATGCAACTCTGCTGCCTTCTGTTGGTAAAATACAGGGTTGCTATAAATGGAGCATCATTCTTAAGGAATAAATATTCTTGAGCTGCCATAGTTGTGTGTTAAATTTAAATTTACTGACAAAGAATTAAGGGGAGACTAGTATAGTTATTTCTAACTACTTAGCTCTCATCAGCTAGCCATACCCTTCTGAGATTCGAATCCGGGCCACTTGCATGTTAGGCAAATGTATTAAACTCTAGGCCACGGGCTCTCCTTGCTTTGTCAGCTATAGCAGGGGGGAAGATTAAGTATTTTCCGGTGAGATCGATTTATCAGGGAAACCTGGTCTACCCCAAATATGGGATGGGAAAACCTTCATAACTGCCTGTGAAGGCTCCTAGATTGGGGCTGAAAGGCGAAAGCGGAAGCAGTATGCTCTGTCCCATATTTGGGGGTAGACCAGGTTGCCCTGATAGACTGGCCTCATCAGAAAACACTTAATCTGGAACTAGTTCTTTGGAATAACAGTGACAAGCACTTCTCTGATAATCTGAAACTGGTGACAGAGCTTTTGCATGTAAATTACTTGTGCATCCTTTGATGGCCTTTTCATTTTCAGGCTATTCTTTGACTAAATATGCAAGGCATATTTTAAGTGATCCACTTCTCCCACAGCTTCCTTCCACTTCTTCAAAAGGAATGTCTCTTCCAAACATTGCTGCATTGTCCATGCAGTCTGGCCGTCCTTCTAAGATTGAGTGGGTTGCTCTATGGCCGTGCTTTTTCAGCTCTAGTTCTCCCTCACAGGATGCCCTCCCTGGGAAGCAGGCCTGGCACCCAATTTAGGGTCTGCTCTAAGCTAAGAGCTTCCTCTTTTCCCATCAGTTTTAGTGAGCTTTGACTTCATATTTCTATAAGGACTTTGTGCATTTTTGTCTTACATCCTTGCGGTGCTACTTTCTAATTCTAATTGGTTTTTATGTTTTAAGTAAACATTGTTTACTTAAATAATTGTGCAGATGAGAAATATACACATGCAACACTGAGCTTTAGAAGGCTAAAAATACCACTTTTACCCAGAGGCTAAAGAGAAGAATGAAATGTATTGTGAACAGTAACTATAGAAACAATTGATGAAGACAATGCACAGAAGAAGAGAAGACATTTACCTTCAGCAACCGAATTGCTGTCATCCAACAGGTCCTACTTTGCTCACTGTCTGCATAAAGGTATTTCAGGTCTCTGGTTCCTCCTGCTTTATAAGGCTAGAAGGCCACAGCATATTGTTTAGCATTAATGCATATCTTGAAGACTATACCTGTTGAAATAAAAGCCACTAATTCTCCTATTTCACAAACAAAATCTCTTCTTTTCTTAGTGTTTTTCCCTGCATCAAAAAGTGTCTTAGCATTTTTTTTGGGGGGGGGGACCACTAATTCGCTAAAAGGGGTTTAGCTCTTATTAAAATGCTAAATTCTTACCTTGAAGCAGAACCCAAAAGTGACTGGCACTCCAGATATCTTTTTGCCTCTCAAAGACATATATATGTCGCTACTGCTAAATTCACTGAAAAGCTGAAGGTGTCGTGGTTCCTAAAATGAAAAACATAAAAATATTACATCCACTTTTAAATTATTGCTTGTGGGGGGAGGGGTTGAGAGAGGGGAGGGAGGGAGGGAGGGAGGGAGGGAGGGAGGGAGGGAGGGAGAGCGCCTATAGTGGAACACAATGAATTTTCAAAGAATTATGGAAAGTTTTTCCAAGTTGCGTACAGCATCTTATGACCATTCAAGATCTTTTAGATTAGGGGAACTTCCATCAACACTACTAAAATAGTCTTAAACACTGAAGAGGAACAATAAATGTTTTTTAAAGGAAAAGAACTTGAATTACTGAACATGGTAACTGTTTAGAGACTCTGCTAAACCAGAATGTGACTTATTTGGCTTTGCTGTTTTTAATTTGTTACACAAGATGAAGTATAAACCCAGCCAGTGTAGTTCATTCAACAGATTAAACCAAAAGCAAACTATGGTCCAATGTGAAGTGTTGACCCTCATGTGATTTTTCAACTACTAGTTTCACCCAGAAGCAACTGGGGATCTCAAATTCAAGAATAAATCAAAATGTAGATTGGAGAAAACTGTTGGAAACTACCGAGAAAACCATCAATGCCAGAAATATAGGAGGAACCATATACCACTGTTTATTGTAATGCACCCACACAGCAAGTTTTACCCAAGGCAAGGCCTTGACAAATATGCACCAACTACAGGGGCATCCAGTCCTGCAGGGAGGGTCAAAAAACTCAGCTTTGACAGATTCGACAGATCAGCCCAAGTTAACAAAAGCCCGGCTCCTTTGTATGTGCAGCAATGTTGTTTTCTATACAAAGGGGTGGGGCTTTGGTCATGAAGTCATGGCTGCCATCGCTACTTTTTGGCCTATACCCCGAGGATATAACTCAGTGGATATTTTTCCAAGAGATATCTTCTCTTGGTTTCAATCCTAAGAGAAGGAAAGCTAACTGCTACAGCTCCTGAACCAGAGAATTCCCAACAATTTCCAAGACAATTAGGTGAAGAAGAGCCCTTGGTCGTCTTCCAGAGTGTGGCTGGAAGAACAAAGTGACAACCCTCCAGTAAAAAGGTTTCTAAGAATAAACCAATTTTATTTGTTGTTGTGGGGAAAAGAGGAGGAGGAGGAGGAAGGAGTATTAACTAAGTTCGCTGCCTTGAGTTATTCAGAAAAATAATAAAGGTGGGATAAAATAAATAAATTAATTAAAAATGTACAGGACATCACCACTTCTTCTATAGGCAGAGCTATCAGCATTATATTATAGCTGTTGTGATGCCCTCCCAGAGACTATAGAACTGTAGTCTTTATCACAATGTAACTTTTTTTTAAAAAAGGAATTTTATATTTCAAGAGCAACATCATTAATCCTTTAAAGTGGAAAATTAGCTATAGACAGAAGTTTTCATAAATACATTTCATTTATTCTAATTTCAAATCCTAATTCATTCCAAGTCTATATCATAAGGACTGGATTTTTCACTTTTTCACCTCTCTTTCTCCACAACAGACGTTCCCAACGAGGGGTGCCCACCCAGCTCCCAGGGGGGGTGCAAGATGAAATTTCAGAGGGTGCCACAAAGAGTGGCTTGTGTCACTTAGGCACAGTCAAAATTACTTTTAAAGAGAGGGTGAATATTAATCAAACATTTCCTAGGGATGTGGTGCATAAGAAAATGTTAGGAACTACTGCTCAACAAGAACAAAACTGAGGAGAATTTTTTCTAAATCTGTACAGATTTAAAATGATAAAAAAAACCTCTACTACATAAAAATAAAATGCATACCAATTTCTAACACTTCTTCCTTTCCATTTGCCAAACTTACCTTTGATGTTCCCTTAGTGGAAAAATACAGGCCAGATCTCCGCAACAAAAAGTACATTTTTTTCCAGGTTTTCTTCCCTTGCTCTTTAAAATGCAAATAACCATGAATTTCAGGATATGCACTGGAACTTAAAAACATCTGAGAGAGAGAGAGAGAGAGAGAGAGAGAGAGAGAGAGAGAGAGAGAGAGAGAGAGAGAGAGAGAAAGAGACCCCATTCTTTAAATTCCATTGGAATGTTCTCTTGTCTTGCAGTTCTTTGTACACAAAATGAGGAATTCTAACATTGGCATTTGCTTAGGACATTGTACAATGAGCTTCTGCGTATTATATATATTGTTGAAAGTTCTACAACTTTCTTAAAATGCTAAGTGCTGTAAATACTAAGTGTGTTCGAGATAACTCCCATAGTAAGTTCACTTTATTCTACAACCATTTGTTACTCTGGGTTCCTGTTTGCGTATTTCAGAAGAGCAATTAGTAAGACCCAGATCCAGCAACTTTTCCTGTTGCAGAGAAAGTCCCCCTATCTCCATGAAAGTGCTTATAATTAGCAGAAGATTTTTCACAGCTGGGACTGGAATTCTGCTCAGTTGTCTCATCCAATATTATTCACAATTCAACCAACCAGCTATAATTTCTTCAGTATCTTTTTGCAGATGGCAGGCTATTATTACATATAACATTATCTGATAGCGCAGTTAGGTGAGAAGGCCGTTCTTTTTCTCCAGGCTCACTTTTTCTCTGCTACACAAAGACATGCACACACACACAAACACACATACTCACAGCGACTTCATTAAAAGGAAGAGATGCTTATAAACCTAACTGACACCTTGAGAATAAATAAATCTTAAGCCAGATGGTATCCACCTGAGGGATTCCAAGAACTACATGAAATTGCTGGCCTGCTAATAAAAATACACAATCTGTATAAGATTGCCATCTACTCCCAAGGACTGGAAAATTATCAGTAAGATTCCAGTTTCTAAAAGAGAAACTGAGGGGAGATACAGGCAATTATAGGACAATTAGCTGACAATTAATTTGTTCCAGATCAATAATAATCAAACATAGAAAAATGAGAACCAACATGGTTTCGTATGGATAGATCTAAGCTAAATCTCTAAACTGTCTTATGGTATCAGTGAGTATGTAGACAGAGATAACTGGACAGATCTTGAAGATCTGGAATACTCAGTTAACTTTTGCCAAAGGCTCCTGAGCAGTTTCAGCAGCAGAGGGAAATATGGTGATCTTAAGGAAAGGCGATTGGCTAGAGAACAGAAATCACTTTTGGACTCGAGTAATAATATTCAATATTCAGTTCAATATTCAGAACTGAATCGTCAGGAAATGCTGGTAGAATCTGTATCTTTAGTCTGTTTAAAAAAGTCATCTGGAATGAAGAGGGAGTAACAAAGTGACCAAATTTACTAATTGGATCAACCTGTTCAGGATAGTAGCACCAAAAAAAGATGGCAGAGGATTCCAACAGCTTCTCTTCAATGGAGGATTGAACTGGATTCAAAATAGCAAATGAAATACGATATGAGCAAGTACAAAGGGATGTATAGGAGCACACCAAAAAGCAAAGGTTTAAAAATAAATGACAGGTGATCCTCAGCTTACAACCATTTGTTTAGTGACCATTCAAAGTTACAATGGCAGCCTTTTGGATTATGATTTGGTGGAACATTCAAAAGGTTTTTAAAAGGAAGATTAAGTTTACTCCCCAGTTGTTTCTTTTGGGTATTTTTGTGGATTTTGATGCTAAAGAAACTATCTTAATGTTGAATTTAATAATAGCAGCAAGATTATTGGTGGGTCAATATTGGAAGAAGGATTCTCTGCCTTCTTTAGAAGAATGGGTATTTAAGGTTTCTAATTTAGCAGAAATGGCTAAAATTTCTGCTTATTTAAAGGACCATTCACAAGAGAGATATGTTATTGTATGGAGAAGATGGATAGAATATGTTCAGAAGAAATATGGAACTACAAAGTTTCATTTATTTTATGAGTAATGGATTTGTTTATAAACTTATGATGTTAAAGTTTGAAGAGAGTTAAGGGTTAGTATGATTTTGGTTATTGTATAATTAGTAAACTTAAATAGATTATGTTTAATATGTTTGCATAACCCCGTACTTGGCTCTGGGAAGTGGGGGGGGGAGGAGGGGAGGGGGGAGGATGGGTTGAAGCTTAAGTAGCTCAGATAAGTAGAAATAGTTTTATTGTATATAATATTGATGTTTTAATTTGGAGAGAGGAATTGCTCGGGCATTTCCCCTGGACTGCATCCGGAGTGAGAAGATAGGAGGAAGGGGAGAAGTAAGTAGGAAGGTTGAGGAGAAGGAGGAAAGGGGGAGAGTGAGGAAGAAGAGGGAAAGAGGGAAGTAGGTTAGAGGGTGGATGCGGTTTAGGGGGAAATGGGTGAGCAATACCGAAAGTTGTGTGTATAAATTTATTTTACTCTTTATCTGAAGTATTTTTATGAATGTAATGCAATGCAAAATTGAAAATAATTTTTTTTACAAAAAACAACAACAACAACTGCAGTGATTCACCTGACAACTGTGGCAAGAAAGGTTGTAAAATGGGGCAAAACTCACTTAAGAAATGTCTCACTTAGCAACAGAAAAAATTGGGCTCAGTTGTGGTGGTAAGTCAAGGGACTACCCTGTACTGTAAGAGGTTCTGGAATACAGTGAACAGTTCATTGAAAAAACAGTGTGAAGCTGCTTAAGGAGAAGAGTGAACTACATGGCTAAAAAAAATAGGAAGAAAACTGAAAATAAAACAGCCCTTACTTAAATATATGGTGAGTTTGCCCCTGTTAAGTATTGTTCAGTTTGAATAATTACGGTCAAAAAAAGGATCTTTTAGAGCAGCCCTTCTCAGCTTTTTTTTTTTTTTACCTCAGAGGAACACATCAAGTACTTTTGCAACGTCTCAGGGAATTCTTGCATTTTTTTTATATATCTATAGGTCATGGTTAATAAGTTGTGCATATATAACATAATAAAATACAAAACAAAATGACATAATAAATAGCTAAATGAGAAAACCATTAAGAATAGGAGCATTTCACCCCTACAATTCATTTCTAACCTATACAATCCATTTTTTACAACATTTACAAAGGGCTGAGTCATGGCACGTGAAAATTCTCAGCAGACTGCTAGCATTGCACAGCATGTGAAATTAAAAAAAGTTTTTTTTTTCTTTAATAATGATCTTTCACAGAACCTCTTGCAACCTCTTCAGGAACCGTAGAGTTCCATGAAACTCCAGTTGAGAAAGGCTGCTATAGAGTTTGAAAAATTATGAACTGTAAAAAATGAAAATACAAATAAAGGGGCAGTTTGCTCCCATATCTTCACCATCTCACCCGTCAATACACATACATAACCCATATGAAAGTATAAAGTTTAGCATTCCACATATTGCAAGAATAATACTAAATCATGCAAATCCTGTTATTTTTTTTTAAGTGGTCATGCCTAAGAGTCTTCATATAACTTTAAGTTACTTTAAGGAAGACACCAATGGTTATGTCTTTTTAAAAACAAGCAAGCTTTGACTTAAATATGAGGAATCCAAAAGAATTTAGATGAGTAAAATATGAGCAAATCCAACTTCTTAGCCCCATAGTAGTCTTCATTGAGGTCAGCTTCTCTCCATCCTTATTTACTTGCCGCCGCCATCCCTCCCATTGTTTTAATGAGACATATGGAAGCTTTAGAGCACCATAAAAGTCAGCCACAAGGGATGCAATCTCAACTAGGGTTGCTTGAGAGGGAAAAATTAAAATCGGATTCCCGGTGCTTACTTTACACAGAGAGCAGAATCCACTTAGTGGGGCTTAACAGAATCTGTGGTTTGATCCACAGATAAATTTCATTTCAGTACCTTACCTGCAGTATCTGTGTATGGTTCATTGTGCCATTGCTCTCATTTGAAAGGGATACCAAATGGTCTGGGAAAAATATCTGCAAAATAAAAAGTTAACAGGAGGCACTAAATGTTTCATAAGCTTGAGCTACATTGTGGGCTTCACCACGATTATCATAATCTAGACCAGTGATGGCGAACCTTTTAGAGACCGAGTGCCCAAATTGCAACCCAAAGCCCACTTATTTATCGCCGGGTGCCAGGTGGGCATGGCCCATTGGGTGAGTGTGGCTATGGTGGTCATGGCAGAGTGGGTGGTGTGCTCACTTGGATGTTGCTTATGGGGAGGGATGCCTGTGGGGGACAGGCAGGGTTGGGGAAGAGCCAGGGGGTCTCTGGCAGGTGGGGCAATGGGCAGGAAGCTCGTCCTGCGGAGTGAGGCGAGGCAAGGCGAGGCATTGTCGCAGGGCAAGGCGAGGCAGGGGCCACGGCAGCTGCTGCCTGACACCATTGGCCCCCGCAGAGAGGCCAGCAAGCGTATGGGGGCCGACAGTATCCGGCAGCAGCCACAGCCTGCCAGCCCCTCGACTGGTACACTCTGGGGCTCCACAGCCCATCGCCAGCAGTTCAGAGAAGCCGCCTCTAAGCTGGACGGCTAGCTGACAGCTGAGGAGGCGATGCAGTGGGTCATGCCCGGGAAAAGGAGAGCATGCAAGTTCAGGAGGGATGGGGGGGGGAACCAACTGTGCTGGGATGCATCCGGCCCCGTGGGACCTCAGCGAGTTAGTGGGCGGTTGATTGAAGAGGGACAGTTGCCATCTCCGGGGCATGCCGCACATGCCCACAGAGGGCTCTGAGTGCAGCCTCTGGCACACGTGCCATAGGTTCGCCACCACTGATCTAGACAGCAAAAATCCAGGCAACCACCAGATGGCAATACAGCAATACAGAAAACTCTTAATAACTCTTGACTACTCTAGTGACAAATTGGAATTTAGCAACCTTGCATCACATTTATTTGTGAATGTGGATGGAAAGAATGCCTGACTCCCAGCAAATCAGAGTACAGTACTTGATATTATAATAAGCTAGCATAATAAAATCAAGCAATGGGAACTAGCTTTGAGGGAAGAAGGTGGCTTTCCTCACACGAAATACTTCAGCAGCCATTGTGTCTGAAATCAATGTTTAACAGAAGAACACTTCCTTGGTAAGCAGAAGGTCTGTGTTGATGTTACTTACTAAAAGAAATAACATGGTAGTAAATAGGGGAAAGACATTTCTACTGCCAGTCAGTATTCTATGGCCAAAGAAATTTTCTATGGACTTAAGTACAGGTATGTAGTCCTATCATAACAACCACAATTGAAGCCAGCAATCTGTCACTAAAAATGTGATCATTAAACAAAACATGTGACTGTACTGGGATTTCTCTGTAGTTGTTAAATGAATCACCCATGGTCATTAAGTGAGACATCATGTGAATGCAACATGCAATTTCACTGTTGACTTCTCCACTGGCTCTGCTTGTCAGAAGTCAACTGTGAAGCGTGCAAATGGCAACTGAATGACCACATGACCCTGGGATGATCATTAATGCAAGGGCTTATTGCAAAGTTACTTTTACAAAGCTGCCATAAATTCACGTGGTTACTAAAGAGGGCAGTTATTAAGTGAGGACTAAGTGTAATACTTCCACGTCTTCTCTAGATGTGTTCCAGCACAATTGGAAGATAACATGTGGTGGAAGACTCTTATAATGTACACAGCCCACAGCTTGTAACCATTGAAAGGAACTCAAAAAGAAAACCATTTGTCACTTTTGTCTGTATATAACACAATATACAGTCAATTGCCTCTCAGCAAGAGATTTTTGACTGCCACCACAACCTTCAAGCTCTGTTCATACATAGGAAGTAGCTGAAGAATTTGGAACAAGCAAGGTTTTGCAAGCCTATTTGCGAAACTCTTTGTTTTTTTTCAGAAGATGGGCACAAGAACAAAGAAAATGACCTCCTACAATGCCAGTTGTAGGTGGGGGGCATGAGGAACCTATGTCACTTTAGGTCAGGGGTGGGGAACGATGGCCCTTGTATGACTTGTGGACTTCAACTCCCAGAATTCCTGAGCCAGCCTCTGCTTTAGGTAGTCTGGTTAGTGCTGAACGATTCCTCACTCCACATTACAACTTTGCCTTGCTGTATTGTAATAAAAAAGAAAAAAAATGTGGGGATGAACTGTTAATCCTTTGAATCAAAGGGATAATAGTATATGCTGCAAAGATTTTTGTCACTAGACTTCGTAGAGCTGGTGAGTTCCTGTAACTAGGAAGAATTATGCTGAGTATTCAATCTGAGGTATTTATCTATATTATAAACATATCATACAGTAAGAACTTACTTCAGGGTTTTTAAAAAACTCGTATTTGGCGTAGTTTTTCCGGAAATAAAATTTATTGCCTTCTTCAATTCCCCACCTTGAATGGACTTCAACAATCACTTCATGGTCTTCTACTATTCTTTCTGTGAAGGAAAAGAGAAATGCAAATACCAGTTCTTTCACCAAAGGGACTGGAAGGAAGTGGCTTACCTGAATCCTTTGAGGTGAGGTTCAAGCCCAGTTGTGCTAGTGCAGGGGTCTTCAAACCTGGCCCTTTTAGGACTTGTGGACTTCAATTCCCAGAATTCCTCAGCCAGCCATGCTGGCTTATTGTTTCTGATTTACCCATTGTTAGCTGGCCAGCATTATTTTATAAAATATAGGCAGCTATATAAATCTTTTAAATACATAAATTTCCATTTCTGTAATTGAAAAAACTGTCAGACGTCTGAACGATTGAGGCAATTTATAAACACTGTAAATAAATAGCTAAAATTTGCCCAAGTCCCTCAAAACAATGCTGCTACAATTATAAATATTTTAAAAACTTAAGGTCATTAAACTGGTCTGTTCAGGAGAAGGAAGAATTTTGAAAGCCACATAGCTTAGGGATGATATACAAACCACCATCATCTGTAGTTTAGGATATGTAACTGTACTGGACATTGGACATGCTACATCTCGGTAAAACTGACATGAGGAAAAGCTCCCTGGGAAAGCCCTCGAATTCCATGGAAAAAAAGGAATGTTCATAAATAAATTTAGTCAGTACAGTCACACCCTGTCGTAAAAGATTCCTTCCTAGCTTGTAATACTCAGAAGTCATCAGTATATGGAGCTTGGCCTTCACACAAAGTAGCTATTGGACAAAACATAGATGCTCATGAGGAGAGTGTTTAAATACTACAAACTATGCAGAAAGCTTGTGTGCTCCATTCTATTTCTTGACAGAGTAATCAGTGCTGCTACTAAGAGATCAAACATTGACTTTCTATTGCTTTGACATAATAATAATAATAATAATAATAATAATAATAATAAGAAGAAGAAGAAGAAGAAGAAGAAGAAGAAGAAGAAGAAGAAGAAGAAGAAGAAGAAGAAGAAGAAGAAGAAGAAGAAGAAGAAGAAGAAGAAGAAGAAGAAGAAGAAGAAGAAGAAGAAGAAGAAGAAGAAGAAGAAGAAGAAGAAGTTGGAAGGGACCTTGGAGGTCATCGAGTCCAACCCCCTGCTCAGGCAGGAAACCCTATACCATTTCAGACAAATGGCTGTCCAGTCTCTTCTTAAAAACTTTTACTGTTGGAACATTCACCGCTTCTGGAGGTAGGTTGTTCCACTGGTTAATTGTTCTAACTGTCAGGAAGTTTCTCCTTAGTTCTAGGTTGCTTCTTTCCTTGATTAGTTTCCATCCGTTGCTTCTTGTCCTGCCCCCAGGCGCTTTGAAGAATAGCTTGACTCCCTCTTCTTTGATTGAGTGTATGGCCAGGAGTTATAGTTTACCAATATCTGGGAGGCATTCCCAAGGATTTGAGATAGGCAGATGTGGATGTTTCATGATGTTAGAGGTATTATTGCAGGATGCAAACTATTCCAAGTCAAGCTGCCTTTTGCAATTGACGGTGAATTTATCAATGCCAATGGTATTCAAGAGGTGCTCCAGTTATTTTGGGGTTGAACTCAAGGCGCTTATTGCTGGAATTGGGTATGTCTAGTTTAATGAAGAGAAGGACAAGGGGGGACATGATAACAGTGTTCCAATATCTCAGGGGCTGCCACAAAGAAGAGGGAGTCAAGCTATTTTCCAAGGTGCCTGAAGGCAGAACAAGAAGCAACGGATGGAAACTAATCAAGGAGAGAAGCAACCTAGAACTAAGGAGAAACTTCCTGACAGTGAGAACAATTAACCAGTGGAACAACCTGCCTCCAGAAGCAGTAAATGCTCCAACACTGGAAGTTTTTAAGAAGAGACTGGACAGCCATTTGTCTGAAATGGTATAAGGTTTCCTGCCTGAGCAGGGGTGGTTGGACTAGATGACCTCCAAGGTCTCTTCCAACATCATCATCATCATCATCATCATTATTATTATTATTACTACTACTATTACTACTACTACTATTTTTATTATTACTATTACTGCTATTACTACTGCTGCTGATACTATCTTTGTTTTCTTTTGCCACAGTCATTCCACTTCTATTTGCAGGTATTAGTAGCTGTTGTCTTCTCCAGTATTGCCATGTCCACTATCCAAACTTGTTTGACTTTCTTATCAATAATTATTAAGTCTGGGATGTTATGTAGCAGGTGCTTGTCGGTTTGAATTCTAAAGTCACAGAGCATTTTAGTTTCTTCATTTTCTATTAGTTTCTCTATTTTATGGTCCCATCAGTTCTTGCTTGCAGGCACATGGTATTTCTTGCAGATCTTCCATTTTGCTACTTTGTCATGCTGTTGTTTGTAGTCATTCTGGGCTTGGTGCAAACTTCTTGCAGCAGCTAACCAGATAGTCCATTATTTCTTCAGCTTCTTTGCAGAGGTGGCACTTGCTGTCTGTTGCTGTCTTCTGAATTCTGGCTTTGTATGCATTTGTTCTTAAAGCTTGATCTTATACAGCCAGAATTAGCCCCTCTGACTCTTTCTTCATCTTTCCTGCTCTTAGCTGTTGCCAAGTCTTGTTATTATTTGCTTTCCCTGCTATTTTTTTTAAATTTACAGGCCATGTAATGCTTTGTCTTCCCATGTCTCTTTTTTGCTTTTCATCTGGTCTTTCTAGTAGACCAGTTTGGTCTCTTTGCTTTAGTGCATCTTCTTTACTATCTTTCAGATAGTTTTCCAATGCCCTTTTTTCTTCTCCAACTGTCTGATCTATTATTATTATTATTATTATTATTATTATTATTCATGAACCTCAGTCAAGTGAACATTCAAATTGACTGGCGCTGATGGTTGACATGGGTTGCTGCCAGCATCCTAAATATCAACCATAAAATGTAAGATGTTCCGAGTAGCGCAGTTTTTTGTAGCATTGCTAGAGTTATTGCAGAAAGCTGCAGTTTCTTGAAATATTTTGCAAAGGTTTTGGACATAGTTCCCAGTGCCCCGATGACAATGGGTATCATCATCATCATCATCATCACCATTATTATTATTATTATGGATCATCGCACAGTCAGCCAGATGTTCAGACTGGATTTGGTATTTTGTCTACCTATCGAGTCCTTATCCAGGACCTAGGATAGGCGGATGTGGATGTTTGATGGTATTACAGGTATCGTCGCAGGATGGAAGCAGTTCCTAGTAAGGCCGCCGTTTGCAATTGACTAACAGAGAATTTGTCAATGCCAATGGTGTTCAAGTGGTGCTCCAGTTATTTTGGGATTGCACCCAAGGAGCCTATTACTATTGGTACTACCCTTGCTTGCTTTTGCCACAGTCTTTCTATTTCTATTTGTAGGTCTTTGTATTTTGCTATCTTCTCCAGTTCTTTCTCGTCTATTCTGCTGTAGTATTATTATTAGACATTCTTTTAGAGAGAATTAATATTAATAGCAACACTATTTTAGAGGAAAATACTGTATCCTTACTTTCCCATGCCCAACAGTTAGAAGATCGTGCTGCTGATGTTCAGTTATCCGGCAACTGAAGGGTTATGATCACTGAGAACTCCAGAGCTTCAATAAAAGACGCTGGCTGCGGTCAGTGGGCTGTCCAATCCTGCCCTATGGTTGTATGAGCTAAGCCAAAAATTGATTCTAGCCCTGTCAAAGTTCTCAACTGCTTTTTGGATTTATTTGTTTATTAAAATTATTAATTTGCTGACCCCTTTAATGATTCTGATTGAGTCATAATAAAAATCATCATACATAATCATAAAACACAGATAATAAAATTCACAAATAAAACATAGCATGTGGCCCCAAAAGTAGAAGTGGTTTCATCCCTGGAGTTGGCTGTTTCTCAATAAGTTGCGTTCTCCAGCCCAAAAGGCTATTGAAAAGGGGCATGGTCTTCTTTACTTCCCAAAAAGGCAAGAGGAAAAAGGCCATTCTCATTTGGTGGGTCAGGCTGTTCCAAAAGGGGGGGGGGCTTTCACTGAGAAGATATTTTTCCTGACTCTTCACACAGAGAAATGATCCTCAGCCAGCCTCTGCAATAATATCCAGCTACCACTATACTCTTTTGGCTGATCAATGAAGCCAACCTTCCTTAAGTTCTAAAAATAACATATTCCAGATCTTGGAATAAGATGAGGGTTCAGGAAATATAATACACATATCGCTTGTCCTTCTAACTAATCTTCATAAATTCATAAAGTCTGACCTGGACAAAAGATGGCAATTTTCTTCAAAAGTTGCTTTTAATTTCCATGCCAGCAGAGGAACTGAAAGAAACTTAAAGGTGCATGATCATATAATTAAAATTCAAAAACAGCAGCGGTATATTCAGGGCAAGTGCGTCTGAGATTCTATTCATCTCAGAATGTCTGGCTTAGTTCAGTGCAACACTTGCTTTGCAGCTGTCTTTCGCAGTACTCTTTTCAAACTTGGAAACTGTCCTGTTTGTAAACGAATCACTAGTCTACAAGGACAGATTGTTTATCTAGGATCTGTAATCTGTGCTGTTCAGGCAGAAATTAGGTGTCCAGTTCAGCCCTTCTACTCTATTGAGCCTCCGCGCTATCAGCCCCCGCTACCACAAAGATCCTGCAGGAGAAGGGCAGTGTAGACAACCGTGGGATCTGGCAGGGTGAGAGCTGTGAACCATAAACACAAAGCTTTCGCTGTGTCCCTGCATAACAGATTCAGTGCCCTTGCTGACCTTAGAAGGGACATAAAGGAGACAGGTCAAGGTAGTTGACTAGGAACTAGGGGATTAGCCATAATGGATCTAATCCTCACTAACAGAGATGAAATGATAGAAGGTGTTGAAGCCACAGAAACCTTGGCAGGAAGTGATCATGCAATATTGGAATTCAACATTATGGAAGCACAAGCAATAGAACACAGTCAAACTAGAGTCTTGGACTTTAAGAGAGCTAATTTCAATAAACTTAGAGAGAGCTTGGGAAGGATTCCATGGATGAGAATCCTCAAGGGGAAAACAACTCAAGAAGCTTGGGGAATTTTGAAAAGTGAGATAATAAAA